GCGCTGAGCGGCTATGTGCAGCAGCACCCAAAGAGTGGTCATCTTCGGGGTGGGAGAGAAGGTCTGAAAGTAGTTGAGTCCCTGCCGCTGAGTGAAGCCTCGAGCCGCGTAACGCGCCTTGAAGATAGGCGGAGAACCCGGCGGCCGCTTCACCCTGAAAATCCACATGCCACTAACGATGTTCGCCCAAGGTGGGGGAACCTCGTCAACGTAGGTGCCTGTGGAATTCCAGGAAGTCATCTCTGCGTCAATGGCTGACTGCCATTGTCAGGAATAGGGACTCTTGATCGCCTCAGCGTACGATCGAAGAGTCGGGATGTCTCGTGCATCCGGGTCTCCCTTAGGGGCAATAAGCTCGGACACGAGATGAGGCAAAGCAGCAGCAAAACACTGGAACTCCTCCTGCCTGTCCTCAAGGACGTCTGTGCCAAGAGCACACTCACCCCCGACGGACAGAGGACAGACAGACTCAGACTCAGCAACAAGACTAGTAGCGTAGTCTAGACGATAGCAAGCACCAAAGTCGACAAGCTCAGCAACCAAGGGAGACGCAGCAGTGGACTCAAAGGAAGGGTCAGTGACAACAGTGGCCAGGAGACGCGTGACAGTAGGACTGGCAGCACGAAGAGATTCAGACTCTGGGTTAGCAAGGACAGGAAGAGAGGATTTTGGAGGAGACGGCAACGGGACACGTAGAGGAGCAGTGGAAGGACGCAGTGCCATCTGGTGTGTGCCTGGGACCGCAGGAAGACGCGGACGCGGAGCTAGACCACTAGTGTGAGCACCACGAACAAGCGACGCAAGACGAGACGCAGGCTCACGACGCTCAGCAAGACCTCCAGTAGGACCAGAATAGGGAGAAGGAGCAGGTAAGGGGGGAGGCGGGCTGTAACTGTGACTGCGACTGGACAGGCTGTGGACACTCTAAGGGGGGAGCAGGACCAGTAGAAGGCGGGAGACCAAGAACCTGCTCAAGGAGCGGAAAGAAGTACGGCCGCGACCGCGCAGCGCCTCCAGAACCAGCAGGGACAGCACCAGTACCCCCAGCGGCAGCACCAGCGCCAGCAGTACCTCCACCTCCAACAGTGCCAACTCCAGCACCCTCAGAAGCACCTGCGCCAACAGCACCACCAGCGCCTACACCCCCAGCAACTCCAGCTCCAGTAGCTCCAGCTCCAGCAGGACCGTCAGCTCTGTCAGAATATTATGCTCTAGCCTGTAGTGGGGTGCTCTATAGCGAGTACAACCCTTCTAGGGTTTGCTATTTGTATCCTCATTCTTGCTAGTGCAAACCCCTTCTTCTTTCTAAACTTTTTCTACTACCTCCGAATCTTCACATGCTATCAGAGCAGGTCGATCCCCTTGGGTCGATCATGTGGGTGGGCTCACCACCTCACTGCTTCCAGCTGCTACTGCTACTCTCTGTGTTGCACGCCCTGTGGCGTGCAACGGATTTTTCATCCCGCCGCGCGCTCGGAGCGTGCGGCGGTTTTCTGCCCGCCGTGCGCCCCGAGGCGCGTGGCGGTTTTTTGCCCGCCGTGCGCCCCGAGGCGCGTGGCGGTTCTCTGCCCGCCGTGCGCCCCGAGGCGCGCGGCGGGTTTTTGCCCCGTCACGCAGCGCGTCGCTCCCGGGAGGCGCTGCGATGGGCGACGGAGACCCGCGCGTCGCCCCCCGTCGCCTGTTGTGGCCAGCACGCGGCCCGTACAGGCCCGCGCGCGGCTTGGGCCGCTTGCGCGCGGTTCGGGCGGCTGTGCAAGGCCTGTGGGCGGCCCGTTCTTCGCTGCCCCTGCGCTGCCTGCTGTCCTTCGTGCCTCTGATGGCACCCCACCCCTGCTGCTGCCCGTTCTCCTGGATTAGGGTTTGGGGGTGGGGGGGTATGGGGGTGCAGCTTCTGTGTGCCGTCCCCAACTCCTCCTCCTCCTCCGTCTCCCAGTGCTGCAGCTGCCGCTGAGGGGGGTGGACCTGTTCGAGCCGTCGGAGTGGTACTAAGGGGGGTGAAGGGGGAGTGAAGCTAGGGGTTAAGCAGGGGGTGTGTGTCAGGGGGAGTGGGACTGTTTGGGGAGGTTGAACGGAGGTTGCCGTCATGTCGCCAGCAGCACCTGTAGTCCGGGGAGTTGCTCCGGTAGCCCAGTCGCAGCCAGCTGTGCCATTCGCCCGTGGGTCCGTTGCTCGTCTGCCGCTACTTTTAGCCGCGGAGCCAGTTACTCCATTAGTCCGGAGCGTTGTTCCGGTAGCCGCTGTGCTAGTGTGACTCCTGTTGCCCGTGTGTCTGCAGCTTCAGCCGTCGCCTCCTATCTCCTCTCCTCTCACTGTCCCTCCTCCTCCTCACTTGCCCGTTCTGACTACCACTAGCTTTGCTCATAATTGTGAACTTTAAACTGTTGCTTCTTGTACTTGTGCTCAGAATGTGTGGTGACGTTGTGATCCACCCTGAGCTTGTACTGCTTTGCTTGCTCTGCTGATTACACCCCACTTTGGCTATGGGGGTGTGTCAGAATATTATGCTCTAGCCTGTAGTGGGGTGCTCTATAGCGAGTACAACCCTTCTAGGGTTTGCTATTTGTATCCTCTTTCTTGCTAGTGCAAACCCCTTCTTCTTTCTTCTAAACTTTAACAAGCTCTAGTACCGCCAGCAGCTCCAGCAGTACCTCCAGCAGTACCAGCTCCAGCTGCCCTTGCAGCACCCCCAGTCCCAGCAGCTCCAGCACCGCCAGTACGAGCACCTCCAGGACCAGCAGCAACAGTAGCACTTGCAGTTCCAGCAGCACGGCTCTAGCGCCGGGCAAACCACTCGCGCAGCTCCTGCGGAGAGAGTAGCTCCCGCCTCGACGAAGCACCGCCAGAGGCCACACGAGCGGACCCAGCACCCCCAGGCTCCGCACCCCCAGGCTCTGTATCCCCAGGCTCAGCACCCCCAGGCTCCGCACCCCCAGGCTCAGCACCCCCAGACTCAGCACCCCCATGCGCAGCACCCCTAGACTCAGCAGCCCCAGGCTCCGCACCCCAGGCTCAGCACCCCCAGGCTCCGTACCCCCAGGCTCTGCACCCCGAGGCCCAGCACCCCCAGGCTCCGCACCTCCAGGCTCCACACCCCCAGACTCAGCACCCTCAGGCTCAGCACCCCGAGCAGCACCAGAGTCAACAGCTACATCGACAGGCTTGACTGCGTCTACCTGGGACACTCTCGCATCTGTTTGGCAAATAGGTAATTACCTTCTGGGTAACCAACATCGAAGCCGCTGACGTCGAAAGTCACCTACGTGGCTCGATGGTACCCGTCAGATCATGCGCGCCCCTTCGTGGTACCTATCTTCCCTCCGTGGTACCCATCTTCCCTGCGTGGTACCCATCAACTGTGCGCGAATTCCCTGACTAATAATATTTCAACCGAGCTGTACACCGTACACTAAGGGTTTCAATGTGTTTCTTAGTATATTATAACAACATTTACAAACTCTTATTGAACATTAATACCCTTGAATATAAATGTCTGATCGTGCCTTACACTGGATAGAGTGCGAGGTAATTACCCATTTGCCAAACTCCATGGTTCGGCAAGGAAATGCTCCTTCCTAGCCACGTCTGCCTACACCCACTTATTCGTTTGATGCACCCGCGATTGTGCTACCAGCTCGGTACGTTCACATAGAAGGTTGGGAGCGATGTGTTTATGTCACATAGAATTGATTCACACGCGTGATCAGTTCAGTATTGAATTGTTAAACGTTGAAGAAATTTGGTGGCAGAGCACTACAGTTACACGCATTCGCCCTAAAAACGAGGCCAAATTTATGATTAGTTCAGGCCGGCCTACAGTTGCAAAATCGTATTTATAGCCACATTTTGGGAGCAAGGGACGGCAATACGTAGGGAAATGTGACTCGCGGACGTTAAAAGCACCGGGCAAAATGTCAAGCACCTCCGATCGAAACGCGCTTGTTGAGATAAACGAATAATTGGGTGTACTACTGTACTCGTTGGAGAAGATATGTACACCTGAGGGCACTCGTGGCGGGAAATGGGTTCTGTCAGGGATGGTAAGCCTCTCGGCTCGAATTCCACGTGGGTTCTATGTAAGCCTCTCACCAATTTACTGATGGTGTTATTCTTTCCTGCCCAATTCCAATTTTGTCAATCTGATGTTGTGTCGTGCAGTGATATGAAGCCGAATAGCGGGCACACTTTATAGTCGTGATCCGATATTTTCCGATATTTTTTCCAAGATTTTTGAAAGCAAACAGTTATTACACATCGGATACAGATCACGTGCGGCAGCATTCCAAACCAGATCATTTTTGTCTGACTCCAAAGCGGTCGGTTCGTCACATCTGGACTGCCGAACGCGCCTGGTTGCTGTATCTTCGTTGCGGAATCGAAGGTAGCTGGCCCCCACCACCAAGCCCGCGCTCCTCGCGCAACCGTATCCCCACTTGATCCGAACCAAACCTCATCCGCTTTTTCGTCGGCTCGGCACGGCGAATAAAGGGCTTGCAGTGGAGCTGCCTGAACTGAAGACGGGAAGGGAAGGTGGTTTACGGAGCGCGAAGGTGGAAATGCCTACCGTGTGTGCAGTGCACTGGCCGAGAGGAGCCGCCATAAAAGATGGGTACAGGGTGCTTGAACTGTACAGTACCCATTTCTCCCTCCTCCAACTCTAGCTTGAAATAGCCCATTCGTCCGCCTTCCGCCGCTGCCTTGATGGTGCTTTATGAACTTCATAAATAGATAACTGTCTATGAGGGAAGTCAAGCGTTTGCAAAGCTACGCCTTGCTCCTCTGTCGCCGGCTCCTGTGATCGCCTCCTCTTGCAAGCTAGGCGTTGCGCTCCAGAACTACTTGGTGGGTAGTATTAAGTAGACCGTATTCGCTGAGCCTGGATACTTGCTAGGGAAAAACAAAAACAAAAGTCTCTCTGTAGCAGCGTCCGCCTGTAGTTCCGCCACTCAATTTTCTCAATTTTCTCTCCGCAGCAGCATCCGCCTGCCGCGGCGGCGGTAGCGATGTCGAAGCATTACCGCGCCATCCGCAGCTTCCTGCCCACGGCAACGGCAGTCGGAAAGCGTCTCTCGCGCCAGACCTCCCAGGAGATCGTCCTGGGTGGCAGCATCGGCATTCCTCTGCCAGAGACTTCCTCGCTCGTGCCACGTATTGATACTAAAACGCAGTCATCTCTCGGCGCGCTTCACCCCAACGGCCCCGCGATTTCCGCTACGTCGTCCGCGGTGTCCGCATCATCCGGCGCGCCTCTCGCAGCATTGTCCTCAGCGGAATCAAATTCCCGGAGCAACTACGATTACTCATGCTCCCCGTCTCTTCCCGTCTCATCTTACTCTCCTACCCGTGCCGCCGCCAATGGAACCACCATCGGCGATCAACCCCGATCCTCCGAGCCGCCCATGCCTGCCGTCCTTCCTGTCTTCGGCGTTGCTCGCCGATATTTCCCAGGCCCCTCACCCCTCTCCAAAGGAATTCCCGGCTCCTGGTCCAATTCTGGACCCCCATTTCCAGCAAAATGCGCATTTCCCGCCGCTTTTCCCGCGGCTGTTTCCGCCGCGGACGCCGCCCCGCAACGCGGGGTGCTGCTCCGTAGTGGTTCGAGCTCTGCCACGTGCGGCGATTTGAATGGCGGGTTTCTGCAGCATGATTGGATGCAACGAGCCGCGTGGTTGGCCACAGCGGGGGATGCGGACAATGGCGCTGACGATGCGGCTGCTGCTGACGTGGCGGAACGTGACTACAGCGGGGGGAGGGACGATGAGATTGGCGACGGGGAGAAATGCACGGCGACTGCCGACGGCGACAGCGCTCTTGACGTGCCGAGTCGAACGGTCGAAGTCGATCAGACTGCACAGGGTAAAACCGCAGATCGTCGGAATGACGTGAGAGTATGCAGCTCAGCAACGCGTCTCCTTCCAAAACCCCCAACGACGTCAGGGACTAATCCCGAATTCGTTTTTCGCGGGGATGAGGACCCCGCGTACTGGGTTGACAGCACGCAGACGTACCACAGCGCCGGATGGATCGGCAGCAACCAACATCACCACCACGAGCCGCGTCACGATCGTTTAGCCTCTGCTTGTGCTCCCGACGACACGTGTCCGAAATCATCGCACACGAGTCGTTCGTACTCGCATGATTATCAGACCAATGCCGCTGGGTGGTTGGATGACAGAGATTGCATGGCGGCAGAATCATGGGTGAACGACAGCCGTAGATCGCTGGACGAGGTGTGGATGGACAGCGCGCGATCTCGCATCCGCGACGCGGCGTTGCAGCTCGTGGAGGCTCAGCAAGCGGCGCTGGAGCACAGCAGAGTAGCGTCGGCCATGGAAGCCGCCATGCTGGAGAGGCAGAAGAGCCTGGGGAGGCAGACGAGCCTGGGGAGGAGCCCTGGGGGGGGAAGCGGGAAAGGCGATAAAGTGAGAAAGAGTGTGCTCTCCTGGTTGCCTCCAACCAATGACGTGGGTGTGAGCCGGAGCACCCGAAGCAGCCCGATGCGCAGGCTTGGTATGGGAGGTCCGGGAGGGGGAGCAGCTTGTGACAATGTTGGGGTTGCTCTTAACGGGGATGGGCATGAAGTTGATATGGTGGCTGGAAAGGTTCGTGTTGATGGTTTGACTCTGCAGGCTGGAGGAAGCTCACCGTTAGGAAGGGTTGGGATGATGCTCCGTTTAGGGAGTTCCAAAGGAGTAGTTTCAACAGGTTGATGGCTACATTCATTAGTACCTGGTATCAATTATGCTTCACCCTTATTGCTTATTAATTGTTTGAAATATTCGTGAAGTACACTATTATGCGTGTAACTATTTCTCTGATAAGTTTGCAGAATATTAATTGAATAATTAGACTCAATCTAGCTAAATCACACTAGTGCCCAATGTAAGGAATTTCACTACCGTATCACCCCGGATAGAAGCGCAGGCCTATGATAAACGCATGCGCTTCTATCTGGAGCAATGCGCTTATGGCCGATTTTCAATTATAAGAGCACCCCCTGTGAAAACATTACTTATTATAAGGGCGCTTCATCTGAGGGGCGGAAGGCCAAAATCCGAACCGACGTACATCAGTTTGACTGTACGAACAGTATCCCAAATGAGTTAGAACACAAATACGTACAATGAGCGAATGTGACACAGGCCATCACAGGTGACGCCATCGCTATTCGCACACGCGGTCTGTTCGAACACAGCGACGTCGCCCACAAAAGAGCGACGTCGCCAAACATTGGGTCCCTCGCTTGTGTGTTTCCTCGCTTGGGTCGTAAACGTTCATGGGCGACCCGGAAGACTGTGGACCAATCATATCAGTCGTTTGTGCGGAATTGTGTGTCACCTATCCCAACCTGTTCGAACAAACGTGTTCGAACGTGCGGGATTATGAAAATCGTGCTTGAGGTGACAGCTCTGTTCAAATTGGCGAAATTGTGCTTCGCGACGTCACGATCACCACTACGAACATAGGCGAAACGAGTAACAATTCGCCTGTGTGAAATGAGTAAGCAGGAATGGATCAACTATGAATGAAAGCAGTACAAATATGAAACCCTAACTGGGTTGTACCCCCTATGGGATACCCCACTACAGCCTACACAGCAGTATAAGCTATAGATATGTTCTGACACACCCCCATAGGCAAAGTGGGGGAGAACAAGGGGTCACAAGACCAGTCAAGCAAGACAAAGCAAAGCTCAGGGTGGATCACAAAGTCACCACACAGTCCGAGCACAAGAGCAAGGCCAAAGGCCAGTTCACAAGCAAGAGTACAGACATATATATAAAGCTAGACAAGCAAGAGCAGGTATATATATATATCACAGTACAAGTGAAGTCAAGAGGAGAGCAAGTGAGGCAAGACAGGCACAAGACCCAGCTGGGTGCAGAAGCGCTGATGGTCACAAGGCGCAAGTGCCTTGGTGAACACATCAGCAGTGTTGGCCTCAGAGGCCACGTACGCAAGTCGCAACTGACCACGCTGCTGCAGCTCACGAGCAAGGAAGTAGCGGAGAGCAATGTGCTTCGTTCTGTGCTCCAAGCGCTGCTCTCGACACAAGGCCAGCATAGCCTTGTTGTCTACGTACAGCACTGGAGGAGAACGAGGCGGCTCTCCAAGGTCAGTCAGCAGGTAGGTGAGCCAGCGAAGCTCCTGTGCAGCCATGGCCCCTGCGTAGATCTCAGCCTCACAACTGGAGCCGAGAACCGAAGACGAGCGAGTAGACCGCCACGAGACAGAGCCGGAACCAAGGCTGAAGGTGTAACCCTGTGACGACCGCTGCGTAGCCTGGTCGTCAGCCCAAGAAGCGTCCGCGTGGCCGGTAAGGACCACTGGACTCCGCCCTCCAAGCACTAGCCCCATGCCTGACGTACTGCACAGGTAGCGCAATACCCTCTTCGCTGCAGCCATGTGCTCCGGTCTGTGTCTCCCAGGAGCAACATAGCGTGCAAGAATGCTCAGAGGGTATGCAAGGTCAGGTCGTGTGCAGGTCATCAGGTACATGAGGCAGCCAACAAGCTCCGCATACGGACCACTCGACTCTACGGACTCATCCGAAGGCAGAGCTGAGAGTGAGTGGCGAGTAGGCAGAGGAGTGGCCTGAGGCGAGGAGTACGTGAAGCCGAAGCGCTGAAGGACCTGCTGCACCATGTGTGACTGAGTCAAGGTAATGGTGCGGCGTGCTCTGTCCCGAGTGATCTGCAAGCCAAGGTAGCTGCGCAGTTCACCCAGGTCTGTGCACGTGTGTCTCTTCAACAGCTCCGACTTCACGTAGGCGAGTCCAGCAGTGTCCGCTGTGGCAAAGACCAGGTCGTCGACGTACACGAGGATGTAGAACGGCGGCAGGGAAGTGTCGGTGCGAAGAAACAGCGACGGGTCAGCAGTAGAAGGAGCAAACCCAAGAGCCGCAAGCGTAGTCCTCAGTGTGTCGTGCCACTCACGCGGTGCCTGGCGGAGACCGTAGACTGGCCGTCGGAGGCTCCACTGGGTGCCAGGAGGGAAAGTCCCAGTGAAGCCAGGTGGACGGCGAAGCCAGATCTCCTCGTGCAGGCTACCCTGCAAGAACGCAGTGCTGAAGTCGAGAGAGTGAAGCTCGTAGTCGCGCTGAGCGGCTATGTGCAGCAGCACCCGAAGAGTAGTCATCTTCGGGGTGGGAGAGAAGGTCTGAAAGTAGTCAACTCCCTGCCGCTGACTGAAGCCACGAGCCACGTAACGCGCCTTGAAGACAGGCGGCGAGCCCGGCGGCCGCTTCACCCTGAAGATCCACATGCCACTGACGATGTTCGCCCCAGGAGGGGGAACCGCGTCAACGTAGGTGCCTGTGGACTTCCAGGAAGCCATCTCTGCATCCATAGCTGCCTGCCACTGAGAGGAGTAGGGACCCTCTACGGCCTCCGCGTAAGAACGCGGAGTCGGGATGTCTAGTGCATCCGGGTCTCCCTCAGGGGCAAGCAGTACAGACGCGAGATGAGGTGAAGCAGCCGCTAGACACTGTAACTCCTCCTGCCTGTCCTCTAGGACGTCCGTGCCAAGAGCACACTCACCCCCGACGGACGGAGGACAGACAGACACAGACTCAGCAACAAGACTAGCAGCGTAGTCGAGACGACAGCGAGCAGCAAAGTCGACGAGCTCAGCGACTAGAGCAGACGCAGCAGTGGACTCAAAAGAGGGGTCAGTGACGACAGTAGCAAGCAGACGCGTGACAGTGGGACTGGCAGCACGAAGAGAGTCCGACTCAGGGTCGGCAAGCGCAGGAAGAGAGGACGCAGGAGGAGAAGGCAAAGGGGCACGCAGAGGAGCAGTGGACGGACGTAAAGACATCCGGTGCGTGCCAGGGACAGGAGGAGGACGCTGACGCGAACTGCGACCACTAGCGCGAGCAGCACGAACAGGCGACGCGGGACGAGACGCAGGCTCACGACGCTCAGAAAGACCTCCAGTAGGACCAGTGTAAGGAGAGGGAGCAGGCAGTGGAGAGGAAGGCTCCAGTAGGGGCTGCGACTGGACAGGCGGTGGATCCTCTACTGGAGGAGAAAGACCAAGAACCTGCTGAAGGAGCGGAACGAAGTACGGCCGAGGCCGCGCGGCAGCTCCAGACTCAGCAGGGACAGCACCAGCACCCTCAGCGACAGCACCAGCGCCACCCACACCTCCAGCGGCAGGACCAACAGCAGCAGGCTCAGCACGAACGCCCTCAGCAGCTCCAGCTCCAGGAGGACCTGCAGGGCCAGCAGCTCCGGGACCGGCTGCACCCGCACCCTCGACGGTCGAAGAAGCTCCAGCTCCAGCTCCAGCAGCACCTCCAGACTCAGCAGCACGCCTCCAGCGGCGAGCAAACCACTCGCGCAGCTCCTGTGGAGAGAGGGGCTCCCGGCGAGACGCAGCAGCAGGAGAAACCCCAGGCTCAGCAGCTCCAGACGCAGCACCCCCAGGCTCAGCAGCTCCCAGCTCAGCACCCCCAGGCTCAGCAGCTCCCGACCCAGCACCCCCAGACCCAGCACCTCCAGGCACAGCACCCCCCGGCTCAGCACCCCCAGGCTCCGCACCCTCCGCAGTAGCACCCTCAGGCCCAGCACCCCCAGCAGAAACACCCCCAGGCTCAGCACCCCCGCGCACAGCACCCCCAGAGTCAGCACCCCCAGGCTCAGCACCCGCAGCAGCACCAGAGTCACCAGTAACCTCGACCGGGTCAACGGCGTCTACCTGGGACACACCTGAGGGGGCAGGAACCTGAGGGGGGAGGGGGTCTACCGGGGGGGGAACCGGCACAAGGAAGTCCGGGGGAGGGGGGAGGGAAGGAGTGCGGTAGGGGAAGAGACGGTAGAAGGGGACTGACTCGTCGAACGTGACGTCCTGGGAGGACAGAACACGACGAGAGGAGGGGTGGTAAAACTGCCACCCTGGGGCGTCAGTGGGGAAGCCAAGGAAGACACAGGGAGCAGCACGAGGGGACAGCTTGTCCGCAGACAAGTCGCGGACAAACGCCCGAGATCCCCAGACACGGAACACAGACGCATCGCCAACCTTCCCCGTCCACAGCAAGGCTGGGGACATCGCAGGCCAAGAGACCCGGGGGTGAAGGTTGAGCTGATGCGCCGCGTACCTCACCGCAAACGGCCACAGAAAATGGGGGGCAGCCGCATGCATCATGGACGTACGAGCGACATCCATGACCATGCCAATGCGGCGCTCAGCAATCCCATTTTGCTGTGGTGAGTCCGGAAGCGTGAAGGTCTGGCGGATCCCCCGTGCGCGACAGTAGTCTCGCAGAAGGCGAGAAGAGAACTCTCCGCCTCTGTCAGAGTGCAGACGCAGAACAGGAAAGTCCGAGCCGAAGCTCTTCCTGAGCTGGAGACGAGCCTCGCGGATCCAGTCGATCAGCACCTCAGTGACCGCACCCTTGCTGCGCAAGGGGAGGACTGTGGTGTAACGCGAGTAGTCGTCAACCACCAACAGGAAGTAGCGCTCGTAACCCTGCCCACGGACGGGGGCTGGGCCCCACACATCCATGTGAAGCGTCTGCAGGGGAGCCTCTGTCGGGGGGAAGTGGGAGGAGTGAGGAGTAGCCCGGAGGCGACCCTCGACACAGGGGACACAGGAAGGTCCTGGCCCGGAGGGGAGAGGAGGGAGAGACTGGGGAAGACCAGAGACAAGGACACGGGAAGCCATGCTCCGAAGACGGGGCAAGGAGGGGTGGCCAAGACGGTGGTGC